GTTAATGCAAGAGTAGTGTTGATGATGGTATTGTAAATTTCCTTCTGAAATTTTCTCTTTAACTTTTCTTCCAATGTATCTTTGAAGATCCAACTTTTCCATGACATCAGCCATAATTAGAGGAGCAGAAGCAGCATACTTTGCCGCTCGATCAGCCTGCTCATTTCCCAGTAAACCGATGTGACTTGGTACCCATAACATTTTAATTTTTCCGTCGGGTGTAGTGATTATATTCCTTAATTTGTTGATGGTGCTCCATCTCGAAGTCGAAGGGTTCCGGGTAGCTTGTAGTACAGACAAACTGTCAGTAACAATGACGGTTTTGAGTTTGTTTTTATGGTCAAGGTTGGCACGTTTGCATGAAATTTTTTACAAGAAACACCTCTAGCAGAATTCTCTCATTAAATAAATTTTCCTTATCTTATACAAAATCCAAATAAAACTAAAATTTGAAAATATAACAAGTATCAATTTATTTATTTATTTTACTTGGACAATTTTCAATTTTCTCTATTATTATTCTTGTTCTTAATGAATTTAAATTGTCTAATTTTTCCCTCTAGATTTATTTTGCTGCCACACAAGTAACTCATACTGGTTGATTGTAAACAACAGAAAATTTCCGTCATTTCAATTCCAAACAATGTTAAAATAGATTTACTAATTTTTACGTTACCTTGACCGCTATTTATTTATTTATTGTACCCAACGCAAGATATATTTTAAATGTATAAGTATTTGTAGAAACTGCATTTACGAACTTAAAGCGTGATCCTAAAAATGGATTCAATGTATCACCTACGTTGAACTTAAAGGAAGCGGCTAATTTCCTCCTTTCGTAAATTGTTACTTTAGAGTTTTAAATGATTTTTAATTAAGAGCTAAGCTTAACTATATATATTTTTCACTTCTATAAAACAAATCGAACACAATTGGTTCTATTATATATATATAACAGCAATCTTACGCGAAATCCTGATTTCTTCTGTGACTCTTCAGGACGGCCATCTGGGTCCAATCGTTTTCAATTTTTAAGAATGACTTACTGGAGTCGACGGTGGACTTGTTCACTCCAGGGACTAAAATGCTTTGAACTGCTTGTGTGCTACTACACTTAATCTAAACAAAAGTAGAACGCATTCATTTGCTCGACGTGACCATCTGACTTCGCAGTACGGTATTGACAGCTAAAAGCTGACAAGCAAGCATTTCCTTACCGTCCCCGGTAGTTTACTGGATCCTAAGTTGCGACTTCACTTTTATATTAATGTCTGTGTTAATAAGGCGAACTCGTTATTGGATTTTATGAAACGTTGAGCTAAGGAAATTAACGATCTATATGTTGGCAGATGCCCCACTTGTCAGGCCTAATAAGAATACCGTTGTATTGTCACTAATTTACAAGTCGAACATCGCCTTATTAGAATCGGTACAGAAAAAACTTTTTAATATTTGCCCTTCGTGGCCTGTGTGGGCATTAATCTGCTCCCATATGAGCGCAGACTTGAACTTATTGACCTCTCATCTTTGTAAGCAAAGCTTAAAATTATAAGAGCTAACTTTGTCTCCAAAATGACAATAGTGCAATGATTTGTGGCTCTGGCTTATTCGGATCTATAAGACTTTGACGTCTTACTGCTGAATAACGGACAGCTATAGTCGATGGCTTAGTTAAAGCCAACGAAGCGTCACGAATTAATACCACACACACACACAAACATCATAGTGCCATAAGTTAAAGCAGAATTCTTCGGTGGTATATAGGTACCATCGAATAACACTTGTTGGTTCTTCATCAGCATATGATTTAGCGGCACGCGCGCATTTTTAAAACCTAAATAACCATTGTTACCCGATTTCATCCCCAACTTTGGACCAATTTCACCAATATCAACGCCGGGCACGGGCATATGAGTTTCCTCGTCGCGTATGTGAACAATAAACGGAGCCAAACTTCGAAATTTCCGCAAAGTGTACAGTTGCGCAATTACCACCGCATAGTTGGCTGTATGGCCCACTTAAAAAGGACAGGGATATTTCAGATAACGCTTTCAAGATTATACTAACCAAAAAAATACTTACAGCCGCCCGGCCACCATTTATAAGCCGTTAATGTCGGTGAATTTAAAACGGATTCTTGAGTCTTTTCATCGTAATCAGCGCGCGTCTCCAGACCTCGCAAGAAGGTCCCATGGCACAAGTGGTTTGGTGTATAACAAATATAAATGATCAAAGAAATTTTTTTAACGGAAAAAGTGATAAAACGACGGAAAGCCTCACTAAAAACGCTGTAGGGAATGCATCATTATATATTATATTTCAAGCACTTGTATGAATATATGGAAAGAATTATCATTTTATTTTTGAAAATAGGGTAAAATCGAATGCCACGCCTATAAAAATTGTATAAAACTATTGTGGAGACGTACAAGGGGAGATGAATGCATATTTTTTATACATTTATATAAAAAAAATTATATATTATATTTCAAGCACTTATATGAATATATAGAAAGAATTATCATTTTATTTTTGAAAATAGGGTAAAATCGAATGCCACGCCTATAAAAATTGTATAAAACTATTGAGGAGACGTACAAGGGGAGATGAATGCATATTTTTTATACATTTATATAAAAAAGAATTATTCTGCTGCAAGGTATATGCCGCTTCTTTGAACGTGTTCAGTAAGGACTCTTTCAATGGAGCAAAATACTTTTCACTTTCGATATATTGTCAATTTTTTCGCTTTACGCTGAACTGCTGGATTCTGAGACATATTTTGTCAGAATGAATATAAACATCTCATCCTTCGGTGGTGATACAAAAAGAAAGAGCTTATATTCTTGGCTGCTAATTGTAAAAATTATATGAGCAAGAGAAAGAATTGAATTGTAAAATATATGACCAGTGATAAAAGATGGCTTATTTTAATTTTTTTTTTATTTTTTAGGCAACACTTAGCAATAATAAAAATTATTTATTATAACTTGCTTTCGATCTTCGTTTCGGGACCGCTTACCTGCTCTTTCCTGGGAGCTTCGCCCACGCCCACATCCTCTTTCCTGGATGTTTCGCACACGCCTACCTCCTCTTTCCTGGGGGCTTCGCCCACGCCCTCCCCGTCGCCCTTAGTGGCATTGGTAGGGTCCCAGCAGAATTATTGCAAGCAGTACTGCTAGCAGAAACCTGTTCACGTCGCCGATCGGCATCAACACGTCTGGAAATACGTCTTTCGTTATTTCTTTTTTCTCTTTCAGTATTACTTCTCTCAATAGGCTATGTGAATTTTATAGGTAAGACTGTGAAAAGCTCTAAGAAAACCTGATATGAGTACATCGTGCAAACACCATAATTTGAACTATGTCAATTATTTAACGATTATCATTATTTATGTCATCACTGTTCTGATTGACCACGTAACAGTAAACGCGGAGAAATTAGTGGTCAAACATAGCTATTCATTAAATACTCCTATATGTACATATATATATCTTATATATATGCACAATTTTTATATATATGTATATATATAAAAACCATTATAACCATTAGATTTTAGTAAGAACTAGGGAGGAAGATAAAGTGCACAAATTCAAACATCAGAACCGTTGCAATTCACTTTAACACAAGAAGATTTTCTAAAAATATTCGGAATTTTGTATCTAATGATAGATTACACTACACGGACCACGGTTACTGAATTATATTCATTGACTTTGAAGTGAGACTCTCGTCTAAGAAGAATGTCGATATAATTTTAGTAAAGGAAAATTTCTACTTCGTGAATTTGATTGGGGAACCTATTGACATTTATATAGGGATTCGAGGACTAGTTTTTATAATTTAAAGGCTTTAAGCGCCACCATACTGTTCAGAATGTTCGTCAGTCAGCTCGACCTACTGATCTGATTAAAAAGATTTTAAATTTTTGAAAAAGTATTAAGCTTTTGCAGTATGTCGGCATATAGGTGATTAGGAACGTTATTATTACCATTAATCATACAAATATTTTGTGTAATCAAGAGTTGCATATTAAGCAAAGGCAATTCCTCTCGACATTCACGTACGTGAAAAGGGTTTTCAAGTTTATTTTTAAGAAGCTGCTGATATATGGAACATCAGATTTTGGACAATGTAGCGTTTCTTTTAATGCAAGATGTAGTTAAGTGACCCAAGTCACATTTAAAGCGCTTGACTTGCTTTGTGCAATAAGTTCGTCTGTGTGCCCAAAAGCTTTACAACGGTGACATTCAGGGATGTCCCTGGTCTTTAAAGGAGCTTTGATTTAACGACAGCATGGGTGAAGTATTTCATGTTATATATCTTTTTGTTATCTACACATGATTCCATATCTATATCTTCAGCACCGGATTTGACATCATTAATTGGAGCAAACACATGCACATTCTTTAATGCCATCCTCTTTTGCTGTTTCGAAATAGAACATGTCTGTCACATAAATAATAAACTAGCTATCTATATGACTCGATAAAGTTCATCAATGTTTTAACTTGACCGTCACTTACAGTTTTGCAATTATACTTATTCACAGCAATAACAGTTGAAAAATTCTTTATGATCTATATGCAATGAACTGCAATTTAGTCTGTCTTTGGAGATATCGCTACCTCATTACCACTGTTGGTATTATTATCATTAATAACATTATTCTCATCGGACCATAGAAAAGAAAAGCGATGCGTTGACAGCTCTTGAATCAGCAAAAATTACTCTACAGTTATTACGGATGTTTTGTGAAAATTGCGCAGGTATTTTGAATGTTAAAAGAACTAGTTTGCTTACGTTTGATACGATGAATTATGGACGGCAAATCTTTCAACGGAAGCTGACATACTTCTGGTGAATTATTCATATTTTATTATTATTGTTAAAGGACATTTAACTATTAGCTAAAACTGTTACATTATAACTGTTTGGGCTCGCTGTTACATTATGAATGTTTGGACAAATCTTTTTAATTTTAATTTTTTTTAACATATAAAAATAATAAAAAAGTTAATTTGGCAATTCCTAAATCAATCACGACATCTTCGTTAAGTCTTTTAACTGTTTTAAAAATTTTCATGGCACGCACAATCAACAGAACACAATTATTTCCACACTATATTGAAAAAATTGAAATGAATCTTGTAAAAACTGAGCTGAAAAATTGAGAAATTAAGAATTGAATGATGCGTTTGTTTAGCTATATTGCAAATGAAAGAGTCTGCCTTGAAAGTGACAAAATCAATTTTGGTCAATAACATTACATTATCTTTAACAATTCCGTGTGTTTCTTGCACAGAACGTGGGTTGCTATACGCTTTATCCAAGTGCTGTTCTTCAATAGACTCACATCGGTTTCCTAGCAGTGACAATACCCAGAAGAAGATAGACACAGTTAAATTATGCGAATTGAGGCAATTGAGAATAATTGCAAAAGTCAGTTTGTATTTGTTAGCATCTGTTGCATTGAAAAAACGACTATAAATTCAGTAACATCTGAGAGTAATTCAAAAATAATTCAGTAACATCTGAGAGTAAGCGTCTATATTTGTTTACAATTGAGAATAATTGTAAAAGTCACTCTGTATTTGTTTAAAAGTGAGAATAATTGCATCTTTACGATAAGGCGGTGATATTGAAGTCGCTGAGAGATTTTTGATTTTCTTATTTTCTTCAAAACTGTAATCCAATTTTACTCAACTTCGCGTAACTCTACGCAATCGTTCGGCACTGTCCTTATCGTCATCATCATTATCAGATTAGTCAAAGCGTAATTTACGTGTTCATAAAGAATTAGAAAAATAATAACATACAACGATGACTTTTCTTTTAATGCGTATATCAAACTCACATCTGAATATGATCTTTTTAACAAAATCGCTTCAAGTTGCTGGTAATACGAATGAAAAAAAACTTCGAGCTCAAAGTGTCGCCAAAGTTATAAGAAGCAATTGTATGTAGCAGACTCGCTCATCGCCTTTTGAGAGCCTTTTTTTTAATATTGAACATTACATTTTTGCATGAGTGTTAGATCTTATTACTGAATCTCACACATATATTATATAAGCATCAAATAATATAAATGTTACAACCTCAAAAATGCGTCGCAGGTACATACATACATACGGTCCCAAATAAAATGTAATCATGTTAGCAATTTGTTGGTGATTGTCGCCAAATGTGCGGGCAGTTGTCGAACGCCACGAATCAGGTTTTCGGTGAAAAAGCATCGCAGAACGAATGCATTGTAAGAAAGCGGTTTAGCATAGCGCATAAAAATTTGTCAATGTTATATTGCAAACAAACAATTTCGTTACATAAGGATTGTCGACTTCCTTCGATTATGTCTTAATAAAGCCAGATAGACTTTCCAACCCGTTAGAAAGAACTCCAAACTAAAACTATTACTTTGCTTGAGAACGAATCTCGATCCAAGGTATATGTTTCTTCACTTGTGCTGAGCCAATAAAAAAGCGTCAAAGTCTTAAAATATCAAATACTTTTGCAACGTATAGCTGAGTTTGAAATGAAAATAATTTTACTTTGAATGAAATCCGACTTAATTTAAACAAGTCCAGTGCTTTCAGGCCTTATATTGTCAATGTAAATGCAATTCATACGCAGTTATTATCAAAGACAAATGTCAGCTCCAAACTATTTGCCCTCTGACTATAGTCCACGAATTATATGATGAATTTATCGTGTTTGAATCGACGAAACGTTATAGGAGAATTTAATAAAGGCTTATTGATATCTGTAGCCATTCTAAATATTTATCAACGAATGAATGTGTGTCTAGACTTGGTGTTTGAGAAAAAATTGAACAAAGAGGCTTTTGAAATAATTTTTTTCGCGATGCAATTTGTTTCCTTTCTTTTACTTTTTTTTTATTTCAAACCCTTGTTTTACACATACTATAAATAATCTGATCTGCGCTGCTCTTTTTCATAACAATACCTTTAAATTTATTTAAAGAAGGTTCCATTATAACATAAGAACGACTTCTTAGCAGCTTTTAAAGATTTCGTCAAGAAAGCGTAAAAACAACGTGCACATCAGAGTTCTTTAAGAAAACGTTTTATTGTTGTTCCGTAGTTTGTATACAGCAATCGATGTTTTGGATTCGTAATACTATTGCAATGTTTCAAGCATGATAGAGCAGACAGAAATACCGCAAACTCTATTCTTGAAGAAGAATTTTTATTTATTTTATTTATCTATTTCTTTTTTTTGTTTCTATTAAAACGGAAAACATGCCTATCTCTGGGCTTTTAGCAAAAATTAAGATTTGTAATCGTGCATATTTACCGCTTCCTAAGTCCATCCCTTAAAAAAACAAACATTCTGTCAAATTTAATTTCGTTTTTAAACTTCTTTTCTTAATAAAATTAATTTTATTTTTACTTTTTAGAATATTTTGTTTGATCAGTAATTTGAACTTTATCGCATTGCTGGTAGATTTAGCTTTTTTAACAACTTTGGAGATAATCGCAACATACACACAATAGTCATTAAAGGCAGAATTTGTTGATCTAGCTAAGCCCGGCTACTTTGACCCAAATCAACATATTTATATAAACTATCATTAGAAAAGATATTATCGTATCGCAACTGTTATTACCAGTAGCTTAATCAACAGGTTTTCAGCTGGCTATTCGAACACTTGGAAAGGAATTGAATTAAGAATAGCTCCATTTTTAATATGTTTTCGTCAGAGTTATACTTCAGGGAAGCAATTAACGATTTATACAGATTAAGGCCGTATACCAGAAGAAATGTTCTTATGTGGTACTTGTTAAGAGAGTCTATTGAAAAGGAGAGGTTTGAAGGGGGTTATGTGTTGCTGCGCAAGATTACTGTATCAGTGTTTTCTTTACTATTAGGATCATAAGTTTTTTTTATGGTGGTCGCGACGTTTGCTTAATTTTCGTATAGATCCTTCTACTGGTTTCATATCGCCATCTGGCATAGCTTAATGGAGAAATTAGTATGAGCGCCGGCGCCATTCCAAGGACCTTCGAAAGAAACTACAATATTCAATTCTTCATGAATGTGTAGTAGAATGTAAGGTAATATCCTGAGGTCATCTGCAGTTTTGACGCCAACGGTGGATCTTACTTGGTGTTTCCACTAAGCACACACTTTCTCTATGGCACTCGGCTTTATAAGTATCGACAATATCCTTTTTAACAGGCTTAGAAAGAGCTTTGTATGTGGCTGGATGTACTAAAGTTGTGTCCAAATTGTTGCACGAATCCTGACAGGTAGAATTGCCATCACATTATCATTTAAGTAAGTCCGCAGTACTTTACGGGGTTTTGTCTAAAATACGATCCTTCAACCGAAAATTCTCATCAGTGTCATCAATAAATAAGTCGCCTGGTATCGGTCGGCGGGTATTTCCAGTTTGCGCTACCTCTCTGTAATCGTTTTATGCAAGACAGCATTGAGGGAGTTTTTCACGAAATTACCCTGACCCAGAACGGCAGTAGTAGTACTTATTACACGTACTTGTTTGCCTAACAATGCAAAAAAAATTGGGCACTTTAGAGAATAAGCGTATATGTTTGTTTATACTTCTCAATAATTGAGCATGTGTTTGTATAAAAATTGGGTTCTTTAGAGAGTAAGCGTATAAAAATTGGGTTCGTTAGAGAGTAAGCGTATATGTATGTTTACACTTCTCAATAATTGAACATGTGTTTGTACAAAAATTCAAATTCGGTAAAAACATTGAAAGTTTTTGCACGCAGGTTCGTGTTGAAAATGGGCCACATTGGTCTTAGCAGAAGCACGCCACGGAACTGAACGCAACTCCTTTTTTTTAACAAAAATTTTTGGGTTTTTGTTACTCGTTATTTGGAAATTATTAGTTAGAAGCCCGAAATTTTCCACGTTTGCTTTATGAAACGCTACTGTTTACGCCTACAAATGGAAACAATCGGCCATTGCCAGACAAAGTTACAAGTGATTAAATTGTCTTTTTTTCACTAAAGTTTTATGCCTGTTTATAATAAAGCAGACAAGATAGAATGTTTAAAACTACTTCGTAAATTTCTCATATAAAGATATATTATCTGCCTAAAAATGGATTAATTTTAAAATGAATAAGATAGACACTGCGATTAATTTTTTGTTAACAATACAAACGATATGGATGTTAAATAAAAGAATTTGGATAGTTGAATGCGTAAAGCATATAACTTTCTTATTTGTTTTGTTTTATTCTTTTTTCTCCATTTTATGCACCACCCAAACCTTATTTGCTTTTACATCAATTTTCTTATCGCTGATTTTCATATACTTGTAGTTTACATTTACGTTGATTTCTTTCGCTCCACTTCTTTGTTTTTATTTACATCAATTGTTTTATTTTCTTTCACAAAATAATTTAGTAAATCAGCTTTCCATCGTGCTTTCCACTTGGAAGTTATTAACCCGAAAAACGAATTACCGCGCCATTGTACTACATGAGAACTAGCAAATTGGTCTTGTATACAAACGAATACAACAAGAAGACAAAGGTGGAAGAATAAACAAAAAGCATTTATTTCAAATTTAAAAGTTGTTTAACCAATTCTTTATTTCTTAAGATATTATTCTTACCTCTTCTTTTTATATTACAACATAAGGAATTTCAATTTATACTTCATATTATTTTCCAGGAAGTGTAAAGGAAACAAAGGCGATTTATTTTCAATTTGTCAGATTGTTTGTTTAAAGTATATTAAAGAATAATCTTCAAATAAAGGATCTGCGATGACGTCATAAAATTTTTTTTAATTGTTTGTTTTAATTATTTGATTTCACACTACTTTTGCTATCATAACTTTTGTGTTCATTTATTTCTTCTTGCTACCACAGCATGTGCTGATTATCTCCATACATAAATTTGTTTACAACTACTTGGTGACAGTATAATCGAAGCTCCATTGTGGCCAATCCGTTTGTCACTAATTACACAAGGTCTTTGCCTACGAGAATATCAGCACTTTTTAAAGCGATTTTTTAGAGTTTTTCGTAGTTCTTGATTGGTTTAATATTAGCTTAAAACTAGTTCAAGGAAGATTAGTTTTAAAAGTCTTGCAAGCAATGCGTTTCATTAATGTCCAAGCTTTTAGTGATTTCCTCGAAGTAAAGATTTGTACTAACAAGATATTAAAATGTTATGTTTTTGCATGATTGTGTGTGTTTTTAAATCATTTCACTGTTTTAATTTTTTACTTTATTCTTCTGATGCATGCACTAATATGCGCTACCGACAATATGCTTGTTGTTTGGTTTTTCTTTTCAATTTTCGATATGAATAGATATTCTTGATATTTTTTTTACTAATCATCCTCTATAAAGTTCGAATTTAGTTTTCCTATTTATTTTAGTATTCTAAAAGTTTTATAGCTAAATTTTTCATTAAACGTGCATTAAAAAAAATGAATGCCATATTCGCCACTCGCTACTTCAAGTGTTGAGATGACAGAAAAGGCAAAAGAGCAAGCAAATATATCTCAGAATTTGTGAGAGTAAAATCCACTTTCTGAGAGTACCTTGCTGTACATTTTTATGAAAAATGTTTTTGACTTTTCTGAAGCGAAGAACAATTTTCGTTAACCATAAATTTTAAGAGACTCCGAAATTTGTTTACAAAAAACAGACGCTAAGAGTTAATTTGAACGTGAGAGGTAACATTATAAAAACAAGCTTGCTTCTAGAGGTCGGTGAGAAAAGAGATGTTATTGAAGTCTATGACAAGCAAAAAGAGAATGTGTGGTTGGGATAGCATAGAGAAAGATAATAAAAGTTTAAAGGAAAATAAAAAAGGCTTACTAAAATCGAAAGTTAAACAAAATTTACAGTTTATTGAAGAAAATCAAACTGCACAAGATTTTAATTCTGAAGGCAAGTATGGGTCAAATTAAAACACTCCATTTCAAATGTCAACAATCCACAAAAAAGCCAAAGCATAGCAATTCCAAAGACGAAGACACAATCAAAGTGAAACCTATGCAAATCTACCACTACTACTGCTGTTTTTTATAATTGTGGCATTAATTCATTAAAAAAGGAAAATGAATGAAAATTCTTATACCTCGGCAGCTTTGCAGGTGAAGACCAATAAACCTTGAGTAGCTTGGGAGAAATTATTTTTCTATTAAACTATGATGGGCTCAAGAAACTGTAATTCCTTATGTTAATAAAATAATAGGATTTAATAATGGAATTTGAAGAGGATACAATATCAACAAAATGTCAATATCAAGCTGCTGCTTCAAACCCAAAACAATGATTTTTTGAAAAATAATTATTTATATGGCGAAGTAAACAAATAATAAAAAAGTTGTTCCAATTAAAAGATGAATTCCATGAAATCCTGTAACTATAGAAAATGGAGAACCATAAACAAGCCTGCAATTGTGAAGGGTGCTTCTATATATTCGTAGGCTTATAATATAGTAAAGTAAGTACCCAGGAAAACAGTAAATGCCCCGATATTGGGAGAAGTCGATCGACAAGACGCTTTTCAAGGTCCAGAATTAGATTCAAATTAATCGGTCGATGTCATCTGCAGAAATTTTGCCTGCTTTGAGAGAAGATTTTATGTATATTTGGCATCAACCATTGCTGGCTTTATATAAAATGTGGATTGTTGCCTATGTCGTGTAGAGAAGCTTCCTACTCGTAGTTCCCTAAGTAAAGAGAAAATACTCTATTCGCCGCCCTCTTCATATCGCGTAAGTTATTTAAAAATTTCCTCGCGTACGGCTTAGGTATTCTCCGTGGAAATCGTAAGACTAATCAACATCAGCGGCGTACACAAGGAACTTTGGATGGCTGAAGAATGAATTCCTAGAATCAGCCTTAGAGAAGATTTGCCGTGCTATTGTAACTTTTTGTTTTATTCGTTTCTGAAAGAGAGAAAGAAATAAAGAGAAGGTAACCGCTTTTTAACGATTCCTTACATGAATATAAACATAACATTTTCCCGATCTTTCCATAGCCCTTTTTCTCTTGAAAAAGTTTAATTGAAAAGTACGAGGATGAGAAGGATGCCTAAATTTAGTTTAGAATGCCAAAACGAAGCGATTGAAGGAAAAAACGACACAGAGAATAAAACAAACTAAATATGAAAAAAAAAAAGATTTATAATAAATTATTAAAACAGAAACTGTACAGGTAAAAAGTAATAGTTATTGTGTGTGTTTCTTACGCAAAGCTAATTGCTATTGGAATTATTTGGTTATATTTAAAAGGAATTTGGGTTAGGAGGATACGGGTACAAAGGTAACAATTTTATGCATTAGCTACATAGATAATTCTTCAACATAAAACTTTTAATTGAATCTATTTTTGTAAACAGTGCTAGGATGTTAAAGTCAGGAGTTGTGAGTTCTAGTTGTTTTTACGCTCTTGGCATTCGTTAAGCTCACAATATTATGAGAAATCCGTTAGAAGAATAGAGAAAAGAGAGAATATTTAGACGAACAGAGCGATGGTAGATTTAGATGTAGATGGATATATAAACGTTATAGATTGTTTTAAATTAAATTTACTAACAATGATTTACTTCTTAGTTTCCCAAATAAAAAATTTTATTTATAATTTTATTAATTAAATATTTTTTGGCATCAAAAAACAAATAAACATTAATAAAATAATGGGAATAAATTTAACAAACAAATAGAAATTGAGATTATAAACTAAAACTTAAAAGACATTAGAAAATACGTACAAAAATTGCTTAACTCTTATCACAAGGTGTTCAATCTTTACCCTCTCTTAAAATTTACCTTTCAATTTTGTACCTTAATCTCTTTAATACCATAAGACTTAACTCACGTATACAGCGTACTCAGTTTGATTTGAGATGTTGATTTGAGAGGTTACTATGGAGTGTTAACGGTTATACGATACGGCTATCGTGATGTGCAAACAAGCACAGTATAAAACCTAGAAAAAGAGAGCGAAATTTTCTTTTTGTTTTGTGTTTTCTAAAAAGCAAACCATTGTTGAAGTAATAAAAAAATGTTTCTGTTGTATTTACGAAAATAACGCAGTGTATTAAGTTGAACTTTTTTTTTTAATATAAAAAATATTCTAAAATTCAACAGTGAAAAATTTTTAAGTAGAGCACGAGAAGGCAAAAGAACTTGGTTTTTTCGTTTGTTCTTTTTTTTAATGATTTCACTCACATATACACAAGCAATTGCCGAAAAGCAAAATATATACATGTATATAAGCCATCCCTTTTACACGTAAAGGTCATTTAGTGAAATAAAAAGTGCGGTTTAAAAAATTAAAAAAAGTGTAAAGAAAAAACACAACAAAGTGTTTGTTCCTGAAATATAAATAAAAAAAAGCTAATAAAAGAGATGAAGTAAGAAATATTTGCTAAACAAACCGTCAAAAATTATTTGTTGTAACATATCTGCTATTAAAGGTAAAGATAATTTTTTTTCTTTTTTTTATTAATATGAATAGAGAAATTTACCCAAAAGCCTTTACCTAAAAAATTGTGAAGGTTATTTTAACATTTCTCCTACAAAATAAATTGTTTTGCTGTTGGTGGATTCAATTTTTAAGTCAGAGTAAAAGAGAGAGTCTACGAGTCCAAGAGCAATTATTTTGAGATTTTTCCTATTTCTAAATGTAAACAAAAAATCAAGTGCAAACGAGTTTTACATATACTTGATTTTAATATGAAGGAGGAAACGAATCAACTATAGTGACAATCCAATTAGAGTAAACAAACGGTTTGGTGTTTTCCTGCAGATTGAATTTCTCAGAGAGCTTAGTTTTGAAAATGTCTCACCACGAATTAAGAATTAAGAAGTTGGCTAGAAAAAAAATTTTATATTTCTCTCCTTCGATATGTTGAGCCTTTCTAAGTGAAACGATTTACAAGTTTTGTGAGTGTTTTTTCGTGAATGCAGTCTATTGCTGTTCTTGTTTCTGTTTTTCTGTATTGGCTGCTTGTATGTATATTTTTTTGTACCGTACAGAGTAGGTACAATAAAAATGACTGGTATAAAATTTTGCAGTGCTTGGTAAATGTCAATAAACTTTGATTCTCTCTCTTGACGGCCTTTTATTCTCTTTTTTATGTGCAGTTGGCGTTATGGTATTGGTAGAACAAGTCTGGCCAACAACAAAAAATCGGTCTGTGTTTTAATATTTTTTTATTTTTCTCTTTTCTCCTTTGATTTGCTAAAAAAGACTTTTGCCAGCCACCTAGTCAGTTGAAGTTACAATTAAGTCAGTCAGTAGTTTTTAAGAAAAACGTTCTAGTTAATGAGTGAAGAAAGTTGCTGAGCAACCAGTATTCATTAAGTATATTATTGTAATCACTTTTTACGTTTCTGTCTCCCAAGCCGGTGTGTTGTCTTTTAAAGAAAAAAAGCTTGGACACCTTTGTGAGTAGTTAATAAATACCGATTACAAAAAATTTTCATTTTGAAAGTTGTTTTCAAAAATTTGAGTTATACTAATATTGCCATTTCATTCGTAGTAATTGAAACCATCGACCCCCATAAATAATTTTAATCATCATAACATTCTAAGTGAACTTCATTATTTTCCCCTACACTTTCGTCTTCAATTCCACCGGTTTTAACCTGAAAAAAACGGTAGAGAAAAATGGCCCTTATTATATGCAGTTTGGAGGGAAGAATTGTAAAAGGAATATATGGCTTGCCGCAAACGCATCTTCATTAGAAAACAACCTAAAGCAATTTCGAAAAAAGTCCATGTTTTTAGGAATCAGCGCCGATTGTGATAATCCTTTCTAGATTTCTATTTTGTTATTCCTACAAATGCTTTTAGAAACCTTGATTAGTTACCGCAACATGTTATATACCAAGTTAAGATTTCTTGAAAATTAGATAAAAACATACATTGTTATAGTTATGCACAACGCCTGCGAATTGTTAACATATTTGTTCATATACGGATATGTATATATGAAGAATTTATATTATATATAATTTGCCTTACTAATCGTCAACCTGTTCCATAAAAGCAGGACCTTTGAGGTACACAGCTCTGTAGAAATCATCTTGATACATTTCCTACCTTAATCTCGTGTAACGAACACCTGATCCGCCTGAGTGGCCGAGTAGGCAAGAGTATCGACTAGCAACTCAATGGTCGTGGGTTTCAAATCTCAAGTTTAATAAAGCCGAAAGCCTTAGATGCTAGAATTTATTCTCTGGCTAAGTTTATAATAATAATAGTAATAATAATAATAATGAACACCTGCAGTATTTTTTCCCCTTTTCATTTTTTGCGTCTGTGAACATGTTTAGAATTTAAACTGATGTTGTCTTGGAGGCCTATTCGTAATTGTTACAAACGGAGAGACAAGTAAATTAAAATCCATGGTTTCATTTCGAATATTTATAATAATACAAGAATGTTGCTAAACATTGTTGTTATAAAATATCGTGCGACTTTTCATTATTTATATTTTATAATAATTTTTTTCTTTCGTTGTAAGTTTTTATGTATTTGACCTAGAAAATCAGCAGATTGAAAAAAAAGCTGCCAAAACCGTAATAAAATGTTTTTCTGTTTTTTATTATATATGTATATATATGTATAATATTTTCTGCACACATATGCATTTGCGGTGCTTTAGTTAACTATAATGAGTTTTGTGGTTTTTGCATTTATGTCGACACCAATGAGGCCGAAAAAAGCTAACGATAAGTGGAAAAAATAATAATAATAAAATATAAAGCACAGTTGCAATGAGGATTTCGATTACGTGAAGGATGATAATGACGATGACGGTGATGGCTAAAATTGTGGTTTGTTAAATAAGATTGTTCGAATCAAAGCAAAAAAAAAAAAAAAACTGACGTTGATAAAGGTCAAATATTATAATAATAAAAATATAAAAAGTGTTTTCAAAATATTGTTATTATTGTTACTAACGTTATTGCAATAATAAATTGAACTTATCCAGCAATTACAATAAATTTTTGCTTTTAAAGAATTTTTAAATTTGGTAAACTACAAATTATAGTTATATATTACAATACTAATATTTCCGTTAAGACGAAAAAAAAAGAATTGACTATTTCGCTACTTCAGTATCAATTAGAACCAACGTCTAACGTCAGCAACTACGATATCATCATCATTTTTCTCTTTGTTTTTTAAATTTAAGTTTAATATAATAGATTCAGAGACTCAACGAAGCATGGCCGCAAAGATTACAATCTAACTAAACCTTCACACAACTGTTTGTTTTGACCATTATAAAAATGTTCAGTAATAAAGAAAAAAAGCAAAAAAAATTCAAATAATAAGAGCACAACATTCACCTTTTGTTGCACAAAAAAAAAAAATTGATAAAGTAAATGTTGTAGTAAGTTGGACGACATCATTGAAATGGAAGGCATGCAAACTTTTCAAGTCAATAAAAAAAAGTTCTGGCCATTATTAGTGAATCTTGAATATCAACCAACGAGATATACATATAGAAATTCCAATTCATAGAGCTGTCGCATGTATAAAAATCCAACCATCTGAGAGAATACGTTTGTTTACAATTCTCAATCATTTTGTATGTATTGTACCACTTTAAAGAATAAGCGTATAAAATTCTCGGTAATTTTGCATGTATTGTACCACTTTAAGGAATAAGCGCATATTCGTTCTCAATAATTCAACAGGTCTTTGTAAAAAAGGATTTTTGTTTAATGGGAAAGTGTGTATCAGTTGACCAAAATAACTATTGATACCCAGCGTTTAGGTCCAATATCTTCTATACTTATTAAGCGTTAAATTGGCTTCGACTAAACTATCAGCGAAATATCAATATTTTATTTAATCGATAACTCTCTCCCTCTAATCCGTATTTTCCTGCGCTGCAATCTCAAACATAAATTTTAAATTTCTCAAAGAAATAAGAAGACGTACAAGTTCTTTTTTCTTGTTTTTGAATTCTAGTGGTATTCAAAGTTAGTATATTTTTGATCGCGACAAGATTCTGAGTCGATTCAGGTGTGTCCTTCCGACTGATCGGATTTCTCTAGGGTTGACAAGTTTAGGATTGTACAAACTGAGATCAACTGAAACTTGGCTTAGAGATTATCAGTTGATTTGCAAAACCACTTTACATTTTTCATGCAAAAGCTAAAAAGGCACCTTCCAACTAAAAGTAATCAACGAAAGAGAATGAAGAGAATCACTGACACGTGGCAGCGGAGGTTTTTTTTTGGTCCGGCGATTGCGAACAACTATGTAAACACGATGTCAAAACGATGGACGCATTTTTCTCGAAACACGACGAATAACTTAACTCCAATAATTTTTATTATCTTCATTCAAATCTTTGGCTTTTGTCATATTCTCTAATGAAACACTAAAAAGAATTTTCGATGACTTATAATTGATTTAAAAGTTAGTTGTTGAGAAAAAAAATTATCTTTCTCTGATCGAAAGTCGAAAATGAATATTTTTCTAATCTCCTAGATTAACGTTACACTGGATACCATGGTTCTTACAATTTTTTCATATTTTTCGAAATTAATTTTTTCTAGTACTAAAATACATGCTTAATGTAACATCCCCGAATGTTATTCTTCTATTATTTTTTATTTCATTTAAAATGGACAAAAAACATATTTTAGGGTATTAAATTGGTTTCTTTACTTATAAAGATCACAAATCAAGTTTAAATATGAATCCAATCGCGACAATCATGCCCATAGCAGACCAAAATAAGTAAGAAGGTTATACTCTTCAAATTAAGTTATTTGATACTCATATCGCTGATATTATTAAGAAAAAATTACCGCATTCATTTTATAATTAACCTATTTTTAGGCAGATAGTATTCAGGAACGTACAAAATGCATTTTGTTTTGTTTGCGTTATGATAAATAAGCAAAAACATGCAAAAAAGTAAAAAAAATGAAACTTAAACAATTGTAACTTTATGGGGACGTGACCAATTCTTTCCATTTTTGCACGAAAGAGCAGAGTGCTACGTAAAGTAAATGTGGAACGTTTCCAAGTTTTAAAATTTCTGAGTAACGAGCAAAAACCCAAAAATTTCCGTTAAGAAAAATGGGTTAGCGTGCAATTTGTGCTTCTCTGACCGCCATGGCCCATGTGCAATACCAACCTGCGTGTAAAAACTTCCAATGTTTCTACAAATTCGAAGTCGATATATTCGTCTTTGCGCCCACGAGAGTGCTAACAACAAACTCTACACAGACTAACATGGCTTAATCAATTCAGTGTTTCGCGCTGGTCGATATAAGGTGTCTAAAGCTTCCTTTATGGTGTTGTATACCTTATGGAAAAATACAAAATGAGTTTGCTTCAGTGCTGAGTATAAAAAATTGTAACTTATTACATGAACAGCATTCACCTGAAACTCAGTACAAATGTGTGTGGCTATGTAAATATTCGAAATTGTGAGAAGGCTTGTAGAAAAAAAAGTCAAAAAATAGTAAGTAAGTATTAAAGTGATGCGAACCTAACAATGCTAACCTTCTTTCCAATTTCAGAGTGATACTTTTGCCATTGATTTTCATTTCAAAGTAAAGAATTTAAATCTCAGGACTTTTGCCATAAGTAGGCCTCGGCATTGATACCGTAAGTAGATTCCAATAAATTCGAAGATGGTATCCCACGATTCGAAGACTGTTACAAATAGAGTATCCTATTAAGACCAGCTTTCATCTCATTAAAATAGCTTTGAGGGATTTTAAACAGATTTGCCTATTGAAAACGTACAATATCCTACACCTTTTTAAGTTACTATCAAAGGTCTTCATGAAAATCTTATCCATACCGTTTTCGTATCCATTAATAGGAAGCCAGGATATACCCAGGAAGCTTCAGAAGTACGACGCAGCATATACACACTCGATTTGTATCGATAGATATACCTCTGACTGCAAACACTCAGACGTCGAGTTCAAATTCGGCAAGTACTGGAAATTCTTCCGCTCGCAATGTTGCTATTGAAAACGGGTCAAATTGGTCACGGCATGTCTATAGTGCAAGATGAATGAAAAAATTAAACCGCAACGTATACAAAGACAACAACTATTATCATTGCATTGGAGCTCAATTTTGTGCTGTTCATAGCAGAGATGCGCTGCCTAAAATATCCAAACCGCTGAGAATGATTCTCTGCTCAAATTGTGCTTTTTATTTAACTTGCTGTCATATTTAACTTTCTCTCTAGAATTGATTTTCGTTTTTTTTTTTTTTTAATCGAATATCAAGTTTTTTGCGTGTGTCAAGTGGCGGGAATAAGCGAAAATAAGTGAATTTCAAAATATTATTTTTTAGAATTATTTTTGCATATAAATAAATTTATTTTCCAATATCACAAACCAGTTTCACATCAAAGCCTCAAATTTGGCTTAAAAGAAGTCTTTAAAGCGTTAGAAATAATAACGAGAACAATAACGAAAAATGTTCAAATACGTAAGTTAACCATCGAGCAGAAGACAAATAATGATAGTTTCATTAATATTTCATTCAATCGTCTACATACACTTCCTTATAGGTTTTATTAATTGCTTTTTTGGCCAGCTGAAGCCTTTACGGAATTCATCCCCTTCTCGCATTATTCGAAACACTTTTAACTAATTGTGGTACCTTTGGCAATTCATTAATTAAACTCTCGATGTTTGTAACGTTTAGTTTGCTTTCTGGAAACAAATAGAGTGTAAAGTTTGTTAGAAGAAAAGAATTTAAAAAAATAAGAAATGAAGCTGTGGTGTTACTTTTTTGAATCCAAAACCAATATTACAATAATTAGTATATAATTTATGAATCCGAAAATACAATGCACTTTATTTCTAATATTTTAAGTATCATGGAAGAAAAAAATGATACAAACTTGACTGAATACAGTCAACACTTTTCCTTATTGTTGAAAAAATTTTATAATTTTTTTTTTATATGAGTTTGCAGATAGGTGTACGCGTGCTCGTGTTTGTTTAACAACGAGAGACATTTAATTAGAAATAAAAAAAAGCTGCACAAAACATGAAATATTACAAACAAAACTAATGATCTATTTTTTTAGTTACGCAATTTTAACTTTAAAGTCTTACGTTTCTCCACAGACTTACCACCACCCTTACTAACGTTGATACACTTCACGTTTTGTTGGCGCCTTTCGTAGCCACTTCGTCTTTCGGCATTAATGTCACTGTTGTTATTCTTGGCTTGCTCTATGTCGTCGCCCTCTCCTTTTCCTGCCACTGCGTTATATTTGTCAAATCCTCTTTTTTAACAAAAGCGTGACGTCTATTCTTCGTTACTCTTTGTACGTTAAATTGTTGCTGCCCTTGAAGTGTTAAGTCTTTCTTCCATAGATTTAAGAAATGATTTGTTTGGATTTCCTTTAAATTCCTCACCACGGAAAGATCCATGCAGACGACACATATGATATGCACAAAATCTTGATTCATGCTCAATGTTTGGGCATTTTCAATACTTACATCGAAGCTATTTTTAGGAAAACATTTATCCACTAAGTCGTGACATCCATTCAAATTAATTTCGAATTAATACATTTATCTTCGCGCATTCTACTCTCTAAGTCCTTTTATGTGATACGACGTATTTCATTTGGAACTAACCCACCTAAGTTCTAAGTTCTTTTACATAATACCCTTATCGCTTGTATTATTAAGAAAAAATTAATACACCAAGTCGCGGTGTCTACCATATTCATTTTAAAGTAAACCCAGTTTTAGGCAGACAGTATATCTTCATTTGTGTAATATATAGGAAAATAGTTTTAAGTATTCTGTCTTGCTTACCTAATGAAAAGTGAAAAAATAAAATTTTATCATGGGCATGGCCGATCCTTTCCATTTTTGCATGTACAGATTACAGTGTTTTGTAAAATAAATGAGGAAATTATCAGTCTCCTAACTTTTAAAATTTCTGTGTAACGAGTAAAAACCCACAAATTTTTGTTAAGAAAAACGGAGTTGCGTTTAATTTACGCTCCACTGAGGTCTTCTGTTCTGACCAATTATTCACAATTGTAAACAAATATAGACGCTTACTCTCAGATGCTCGAGAAATTTATACATGCAACAGCTGTTAATAAACAAATACAGACTCAATTATTATTTGTACTACATTAATAGACTCCGTGAGGAAATTTCTCGCTTAACAGCAATTCTGTGGTCTTTTTATTCTGAACATACGGTATTTGTTTTTATAAACCTTGTAAAGAAAGAAACTAGCTAACGGATTTTAGCGAAAAACCAAAATCATTTGGGCAGTTGCACTTCATTGCTAGCTGGTTTGACCATATTCGAAATTGTACTGTACAAAATTTATTTAAACTCTATATGAATCTAGAACGTTATACATCCTTTAAATTTCAATTCCGATCTCTTTGTAAGAAAAGAATTACTCAAACAACCCATAACTTGTCAATTGGGATGCACAGTTCATGAGGTCTCTAAAGCTTAATTTAATGTAGTAAGTATAAAACAACATAACAAATTTAAGTAAGGCGAAAGTAAACCAAAATAATTGTCTAAAGACTAAAAACGTCGAATATAATGCACTTAAATGTCAAATGCAAAGTTCAAGAAAGTTTCGCATAATCATCGTCCTTTCCAAGCTGTTTGTCATTTAATGTTTATATGACATGTAAACATTTCATCATGTGCCACCTTACAGACATAAAAGTATGTACGTTAAAGTATGTTGTATGTCTAATGTCTTTATATAGAAGTTAGGTTAATATTTAGCAACAGTAAAATGGAATCCAATGCCACTCTAGATTAGAAAAAAAAACTTATGAGTTAACAAACATTTCAAAGGAAGTCTAATAACTGTTCCTATAGGACTCCATTAGTTAAAGTTTCTGCATAAGCAGACCGCGTTGTGCGAATAAATTCAGGTTCTTTGCTGCACAGTACTTTTTGCTTAACTGCTTACAATTTTTAATTGTTTTATAGTTTAGCAGAACAATTCTTTAATTGTACTTTAGGAATTTTTGACTCCGTCGAAAACTTATTAGAGTTATGTAAAGCTTGGTTTTGCTCTCTTATTTGAAGAGAACAACCTGACTTTTGCTAAGTAAACTTAGCCTGTTAAGATGATAAGTTAGTCTTGCTTCTTATTCTGTTGTCATACTCTGCGTTTCTTTCGGCACAGGATATATTAAGTAACATCCAGAGGAGCTTAAAATAGATCCATTGACGCATTTGCCTATCCCTTCATAATAATTTTTGATTTAAGCATGTCTGTCATCTTTCTATGTATTTTTTTATCACTGGCTCGTTTCGGCGCAGGGAGAAAACCTTTTGAAAATGGATTAGATCGAACCATTTCTACAATTCCCCACATAATGACTGCTGCAAAAGAATTGTTATTTTCGAACTCACATAAAAAACTTTTTGTGGAGTAGTACTTCGGCATGCTAAACTTATCAAAAAAATTTGTATTACATCGACCAATGTTTTGGACTCTCATTCCTTAAGAAAAGTAAGCAAAGTAGGTATACTTCCAGGCTCCATCTCCTATAAACGCAGTCATGAAAAGCAAGATTTTGCATGGCGACAATGTCTAATTTTTAATATATCATGACGAAAACAGGTGATTAGTAATGACGTCTTTGAAAAGAAGATGAATTGGCTGAATTTAGACCATTTCAGCTTTTGTCGTTCTTCCCTGTAGGCGCTCCTATTAGGAGTGCGCCTTTAGATGAAGACAAGATACAATTGTTTATTACGAAAATAATTTAGGATTAGTCCTAAATAAAATGTTGTAGGGCATCTAATGGTCGGACATGTGTGACTACGATGTTCCTACTTATTTTTCATTAAGGATGCCTCTAATCAAGATCAAGATCACCGTCGATAATTGCGTTACCCTACGAAAAGATATTAATCAAATAAAGTTCGGTTTTTCTTTTCTTTTTGACAGCACAGATTTCTGCTTAGAAGTTTCAACTGATTTCAACTTTTTTTGATTCCTTCGGTTTCAACAGAGCTTCTTCGATTTATTTCTTACAAAAATACAAGTGATTTTACGTTTTTTTTGTTTCAATCTTCGGATTATTTCGGTGTGGCGTTATAGTCGTGCAAAGCCGACCAGGATATACTTAACAAATGGCTGAATGTAATTTTTTGCTTGTTGAATTTAGGCTAATTGAGACGCGGATGAATAAAATGTGACTGCGTATTAGATTCCTGCAGGTATTTTGATTATGTTTTCACTCGCAAACGGCATTTATTGAGAAAAATTAGCACAATATTTGTTAATCAAAATATTTTCCATGATTTTCTACAATGTTTTCCCATATTTCTGACAACATGGCGACGCGAACAATATTGGTTTGGCAGCGATCCAATTACATATTTTTGCACTTTTTCAGCATTTTAAAACGAGATGCAGCCAAGTCACACTGCATTGATCTAAACAACTGGTAATCAGAAGCCGCTACGTCTGTTGAATACGTCTGTTGAGTGCGGCAAAATTTCGCGCAAGTGTTGTTATGCAAGAGGATGACTTTGCGTCTTTCAACAATATGTCGTTCAATTTGCTCAATTGACATCGGCAGATATCTGCAGTAACAGTTCCAGTTTCAGATCTTTTCCATC